GGGAATATCCACAGAGGGCCCGTAACCAAACCCCAGTGGAAACCAAGGGCGATTGCAACAACAGCAACAATAATACCCCATTGTATTTAATGGGATTTGAGCATCCATGGATTTTGATGTCCACAGGGGGTCCTGGAATCAAACCTGATTGAATACCAATGGCCCTCTGTATAAATATAAATTAATGTTTCAGTCATGCTTAAAATGGAGGACATTTTGAAATTCCTCCTTGACAGAAGGTTGAAATGTAGGACATGTCATGGAAAAGCAGGACGTCTGGTCACATAAGCTATGATCATAAGAGAGCACTCTGTACAAGTTGAGAGTTTCACTTCATATGTAACAAATACAGTGGCAAAAATAATTTCTGGGAAAGCACACTGGCAAGCTTAGAAATTTTTTCTTTCTGACCTGGCGGGGAAGAAAAGGCATGCTTTGTGGCCTTGAAATGCCTTTTCATTCCTTCAGAAGTTTGTATTTGAGTTTATTCATTACTCCAATAGACATTCTGTGAATGAATGCTCAGAGACAGCCTATTTTACTTAATGTGTTCAAGAACAAAGTCTTCGCATTCACAATCAAGTGATTTTTGTAAGTTTGTAAATTTTGTAAGTTTGAGGTTGATTATTTTGATTTGAATTATTCTTTCGGCCTACACAGTAAGAGCACCTTTAAAACATATTTTGGAATATTACATGATGGGAATAGTTAGTTAGAGTAATGTAGGGGGAATCAAAATATCAGAAGGCTAGTACAGTTACAAGAGCCAGCATGGCATAGTGGCTTGAGTGTTGGATTATGACTTTGGAAACTAGGGTTCAATACCCAGCTTGGTCATGAAATCCTTGGGCAAGTCACAGTCTCTCAGCCCCAGGGGAAGGCAATGGCAAACCTTCTCTGAACAAAGCTTGCCAAGAAAAGCCCATGATAGGTTGGCCTTAAGGTCACCATAAGTCAGAAATGACTTGAAGGCAAACAACATGGTACGGTTACACACAGAGAAATTTATACAGTTGGCCTTCCGTATACATGAGTTCAACCATCCATAGCTTGAAAATATTAACAAATATATATAAATTCCAATTTGCAAACCTTGATTTTGTCATTTTATATCAGGGACACCATTTTACTACTCCAATGTATTTAATGGGACTTGAGCATCCACAGATTTTGGTATCCATGGGGAACCAAACTCCAGCAGATACCAAGGGCCCACTGTATGTACATTACATATAAATGTAAATATATGTCATCTACATCAGCCTAACTTTTTATATCATTCTGTACAGGATGGTTGGCTTATCAATAGACTGACCATTGTTGTCAGTACTGTTAATGCAATGAACTGTAGATCAGTCAAAGTTGTGTGTGCTATGTCGGAGCAAACCAGATGTTACCTTGAGAGAACTTTGCTACAATCTCCTCACATCATTTTCTTCTTCTACAGGCAACTACGGGATGTTCCAGTTTGGATAAAGGCTGTGACACAGCAGGGAGGAAGCCTATCTCCTTTCCCTCTGTACTGCAGCTCTAATCCAAATGCTCCACCCAGCCTCAGAGAGGAAAAAACTTACACACCTCATACTGTGTCTATATGTTTTTCCCACCATGGCTAATAGCAGACCTGAGGGTGCAGGTGCTATATTGCAGCTATTGTACCCAGGGCCAGGATTACACATTCCTTCTCTCTGTGACTTTGATCTAAATTGGAACACCACTCACCTCCTTTCAGAAGACATTTACACCAAAAGTGCCAGCCTTAGGTCTTCCACATAATGTCTAGCTAATAATTTGCAGCTAGAGAAAGCCCAGGAGCCCTGCTAAAACAGACATAAAGCAGACTGTTTTCCTCCATCTCAAACTTAGGCAGGGATGGGGAGCCAAGCAAATAAATATTGTTCAATTACAACTCCTATCATCCTTGACTATCAGCCATGCTGTCTAATGTGGTTTAACAACATCAGGAGAGCTATAGGTTCTTGACCCTTCCTCTAAGGCAAGAGTCAATTGCAATTGAGAATAATAATAATAATAATAATAATAATAATAATAATAATAATAATAATTTATTTGTAACCCGCCCCTCTGCTCAGCAATCGGGGCGGCATACAGCAAGTTTAAAAAACAACAGTTAAAACATTCCTTCATCCCGCACCCTAGCCCTCCTACCCCTTAAAACTAGATTAAACTGGAATGGAATTAAAATCAGGTTAACACAATTAAAATACAATAAAATCAATTTTTGGCTAACATATCGTGGCGGCAAGAGGGGTAAAAGCAGATCACCTCTAGTTAGCCGGGCAGAGAAGATAACTTAGGGAATGGAGAGAAATTATTTTGGATCATAACCCCAGTATCCCCTAGTTAGCATGATATATGGGACTTGTAGTCTGAAATAACTTTTTCATACTCTGATCAGGATGGTAATTCCCCCTTAAGCTTGCAATAATACATCTAGCGAAGTGAGTGATCATACACACACACACACACACACACACACACATTGTGTTCCTTCAATTTGTTTCCTATTTATGGCAACCCAAAGTTGACCCTATTACATGGTTTTCTTGGCAAGACTT